ACCCAGTGGGGTTGGGTTTATGCTAGGCATAGGCAGCTAAATTAAAAATATTTTGGAAAGGAATATATATTTGCATAGGGAAGTATAGCACTAACAGTCTGGCTTCTAAAGTTACGGATATTTTATCCTGGTCAAGTTGAAAGAAAAAATTAAAATTAAAATTTTTTAAAAAAGAATATTAAATAGTTTGTTGAGCAAGAATACTGTATGCAGCCAGCAAGGCTCCCAACAAGGTCATCCTAAACCCAGGGACTGTGTGGAAATAGCCAATTACAGAAATTCTGGGTCTGTACATATGTACAGACAGGAGTAGATGCCATTTGACTCTTCTGGCAGAGAGAAATGACCTACCATCTTGCCATTGATAATTAGGTTGGTTCTTCAGTCAGTAGTCGTCCTTTGGTCAGAGTCTGAAGTAGTGCCCACACCAGTGGTCAGTGTAAATTAGCGTTGACCACCTTTAACTAGTATTGATAATAACTGGAAGAAACTCCCTTTAATTTTTTTCAAGTTTAGTTTTTCAATATTTTTGGGCCAGACGATGTCCCTATTATAAGTTAAATAAAATTTTTCAATGCTATATGTAGAAACTAAAAAAAAAAATTAAATTAAAAATAAGGAAAATTTATAAATCTTAAAATAATAGAACGATTTTTTGACAGAAATTTTGTGTGTCATAAGAGAGAAAGCATGACCTAGTGATGTGATACAGGTTTCTTTTGGCTGAGGGATCAGGGAATATTTGACCAGATTTACTGTAGAGTGTGTTCTGATGTGGTCTGGGTTTCTTTTAGGCATGTCTGACTCAGGGAATGACCTTATATAGCTACGGCATGCTGCTACCTTGTGGGGTAGACCAGTTCCATGGCACTGAATATGTGTGCTGCCCTCAGACAAAGATTATTGAATCTACTGTGTCAAAAGAAGAGGAGGAAGAAGAGGAAGAGGAAGAGGAGGAAGACGAAGAGGAAGATTATGATATTTATAAAAGGTAGCTCTTGTCCTGAGCTATGAAATCATTTTGCTTATTTGTTAGCCCTCCTGTAAAAGTGGCTGTTGGCTGTTAGCCCCTTACCTCTGGATCAGGTGGGCATTCCCTTGTTATGCTAGAGTTGATTCAGCTTGTGTTTCATTGTAGCCGCAGCTGATCACAGGAATACCTGTGACTTTTGGCTTTACATCGTACTGGCCTGCATTATTTCTGCAGGTTAATGCAGTCTGTGTCCACTAACTCTTCTCTTTTGCTGATGTAGCTAAGCTGAGGGCTTTAGTGGCACAGTTAAATGTGAGTTGAGCTTATTTCCTGTCTCTGTTTTTGTGTTTCAGAATAGGGAAGGGAACCATTGTTGTGCTTTGTGCATAGGAGGTATTACCCTTCCTTTTTTCTATTGTGGCCTTTAGTGAATTTCCTACTGAAGCAGATCTGGAAGACTTCACAGAAGCAGCTGTGGACGAAGATGACGAGGATGAGGAGGAAGGGGAGGAAGTGGTAGAAGACCGTGATTACTACTACGATACCTTTAAAGGAGATGATTACAACGAGGAGAACCCGACTGAACCCAGCAGCGATAGTGCTATTTCAGACAAGGAAATTACTCACGATGTTAAAGGTAACCTGATGTGAAGCCACGGCTTTAAAATCCACATGGTAATTATTTACTTAGTCTTTTGTATTGCATTTATGGCAGGTAAGTCAGTCACAGAAAGAAAGGTGGTATCTCTGCTCTGGAGGTGAATTCAGCTCTCCAGTGCGGTGTGCCGTCTTAGCAGTGAGCAGGCAGGCACGTCCAGGGAGAGATGCAGAATTGAATTAGAAAAACAGAGTTTGCATTTTAAATATTAAATCAGAAAACAGGGACTAGAGAATAAAAGAGACAACCTGATTTACCCTTCAGCAGGATTCTTCCACATTTAGCCCAAAATGTTCTCTCCAGGGAAAGGTGTGCTCTTTAATACCACTCAAGCCCCCACCTTCTACAATGGACATCACTTTCCTGGTTTTTCTTTTTGTCCAGATGTTTGTAGCTGGGAGAGTGAAATTTAATGACCTCCTGGAAACAAATTGGGGCCTGAGGTTTTTTTCATCTTGCCAATTAGTATAAAAAAAGAAAAGATAATAGTTCCAGAGCCATTTATATACAGCCTCCTGCTGATTGAATATTTGAAACCAATTAAGATTTAAGGAATTATTTGGACTCAGTTGGAAGGAAATTACTTAACTAGTCTGGAAGTTTACAATTCACCTTAGAGAACATAAAAATGGAAAACACTTGTCCTTGCTAGCTGCGTTAGCCTTTAGTACAGGTATCACCACTTAAAACAGTCTTTCCACTAGCGTTGTCTCCTTTGGTCCTTGAAACCACCAAAATGGACAAACCAGGCAAATATCTCCACTTACCAGATCAGAAATGTGAGCCTCACAGAGCTGTGAGACAAAGAATTTCTCTGTGTCAGCCTAAACCTCAATCTAGACTCCAGGCAATGCCAAATAAAATGTATTTCAGTTCCTAAATGTCTTTATTGCGTGGGAAATAACTGCTACCTCAGAAATGACTGGCCTGAGCTGGGGAGTTTGGTTAGCCAGGGCCTTCATGCTCAGCCCCAGCGTGGGCCTCTCCTCACCCCATCCCACCCCTGCTGGCCTGTAGCATTTTGAAGCATTCGAAGCAACTGCCTCTGTCGTGCTGACACTTGACCATTTTCACACAGCTGTCTGCTCCCAGGAGGCGATGACGGGGCCCTGCCGGGCTGTGATGCCTCGTTGGTACTTCGACCTCTCCAAGGGAAAGTGCATGCGCTTTATATATGGCGGCTGCGGCGGCAACAGGAACAATTTTGAGTCTGAGGATTATTGTATGGCTGTGTGTAAAGCGATGAGTAAGTCCCGCCTCGCGCTGGCCCTGTGCAGCAGCACTGTCCTGTCCAGCGTTCTGTCTCTCTCCCGCCGTCCTTGTGGCTGCATCTGTGTAGTGTTCCCTGCTGACTTAGGTGTTTGCTGTCAGTTGTTTTTTCCCCTCATCTTTGTGCTTTCTAGATCTAGGCTGTACTTTCCTGTTGGCAGTTGCCAGCTCAGTTTTCCCTGTCCCGTGCTCACTGTGTGTCTGGTGGTGGTTGGCGGTGGTGGTGTGTGACCTCCTTGGCACAGGGGAGGGCAGCGCCAGGGGCTTGTTCTTTCTCATCCAGCCGTGGAGTCCACAGGCTCCCAAGGTTACTTACTGTCTGTTGCGAAGGCAGCCATGCCCTCGACTGTCTCTAATTGAAAGGCACCAGCCGGTAAGCGGAATAGCAGAGAGTTCCAGGCTTTGCCTCTCGTTCTTGTCTTTGAACTGCCCTTTAGCTGACCCCTGTGACGCACCCCGGCTGAAGGGACGCCCACTCTCGAACGGAGTGACAATAGGAGTACTTTTGGAAGTTGAGAATATTGAAATATCTTGCATCATGCACTCTAGGGAGAGAGCTCTGAAGCCGAGTGGTAGTGACTTTTTTCTCTGGTATTTTGGCGACACTGGGTCATGGAGCACTTTAGAAAGTGAGGGAACCTCAGCTTATGTGTCTTTGATCTGAAACCCAGTGGGGTTGGGTTTATGCTAGGCATAGGCAGGAAAAGAGTTTTCCTTTTCTCCATGGTTTCTCCTTTTCATTTTTAAGACCCGCTCTCTTACCTTGCAGCACTGACCCATGCTGACCAGGCCAGGTACTTTTCCTTGGTTCCTACTCTTAAATTCATCAGAATAATAAGTTGCTGTCTGTTCCTGGTATTTGCTCTAAAGGTTTTTGGCTGTAGCTCCTGCTAGTTTTTCATTCATGTTTGCTCTTTCTTCCTCAAATGAATAGATTTTTTACATCTTAATATAAAATGGTACACTCTCAGTGCTTCACTGCAGCTGCTGCACCACGAGAAAGCTGTTCTTACTTGATACAGTGGAAAGGGTGAAATAAAAGCAGTCCTTAGGGAACATTATCAAATAAACTTTGTTTATTCAGGAAAGATTTAGAGATAGAAGTTGTGATATTGACTACTTTGTAAAACTATTCAAACTAAGGGTCAAGAAAACACTGTTTGGGGCTGAAGCTTGAGGAATTGAGGACCTTTAAAAATCTCACTGAATGAGGAGGTGGCAGTCTCTTCCTGAAGGTCAGATAGTGTTGTAAGACACAGTGCAGCGGCCACAGTGGAATGGCAGGTCTGTAAAGCCGCCCTTTCCTGGGCTTAGGTAAGATTTGCCTGGGAGAAGCAGTGTGTTTGTGTATTTGTGGGGCCTCTGCCTGGAGGGCCGCAAAGATCTAAAAGCAGCATCAAGTTTCCTTCCAGTGATAACGTTCCTGTCCCTCTTTGAAGGGGCTGAGGCTGGTGGGTGTGCTGGCTTCATGAGCTGGCTGCTCTGCAGGGACAGGGGGTGTGTGATTCTGGTTTGAGCCCTTCGTGTCTTCAGTACCAAACCCGTAGGCCTGCTGTCCCTCTTGCCTCTGGTTCCAAGGCGCAGGGAGACAGCTTGTGTTTTGTATCTTTATCTAGCCCAGTTATAGGAACCAAAGGCTCTGTCTCCAACGCCTAAGCCTTGACACTGCGGGCAGGCGTGTTGCTGATGGTGATGTGCAGATCGGATGATGGACTTCAGTGCTTGAAATTCTCCTTTACTGAACTTCTCAGCATCTTGGGGAATGTCATTTGCGAAGCTATGTATTCTGATTGAGTTAATCTGAAAGTTGGACATTGAGATTCTTTTTAAGCTTATGCAAAACTCACATATTCTTGGCCAGGTGCAGTGGCTCACGCCTGTAATCCTAGCACTTTGGGAGGCTGAGGCAGAAGGATCCCTTGAGCCCAGAAGTTTGAGACCAGCCTGAGCAATAGTGAGACCCTGTCTCTACAAAAAATAAAAAAAACTTAGCCAGACATTGTGTTGTGTGCCGATAGTCCCAGCTACTTGGATCAGTTGAGCCCAGGAGTTTGAGGTCGCAGTGAGCTGTGATGTTACCACTGCACAATAGCTCCGCAATAGAGTGAGACCCTGCCTCAAAAAGCAAAAAAAAGAACCCGTATATTCTTCACGAGAGTTTAGTTGGTAGTTTTTAGGTTTATTTTAAATAAAAGGAGGCACATTAAAGATACTGCTGACAGAAAAATGTAGGAGTGGCTGGCTAATATGTAGCTATATTCATCAATTATACAGTGTTTTAATATATTAAAATGATACAGTTCTGGAAATTAGGTGAATTTACTTCTGAATTAAAAACCAATTGGACCTTGGCATTTACTCTACTGAGCTCTAAAATTATATCATGATATATTAAGCAAATTCATGCCATTCTTCCCCAGCTGGGGAAATCTTGTGTGAATTGGGCTAATAATAAGCATTTCCATAGGTATGTCTTGAAAGGTTGACTGAGTAAACTTGTCATCTGAGGCCTTTCCCTCACCAGGCTAAGCGCCATTATGCGGAGAGAGTTGCCTGGGCCAGTAAAAGCTTATGTCTGACCAGCGGCGAGGGGGTCTGTCCAAGGGGCCTGTGCTCTGGGGGATGCTTGGGAAGGCTGATTGGTCAGTGTCATGGATCAAAACGCCCAAGGTGTCTTCACATAGGGGAAAGGTATCCTTGTCAAGTAGAGCAACTTAACTTTACCCCTGTTGGCCCTGTTATTGGGAGAGGGGATAAGAGTGTTTCCGTGATACTGAAAACTCAGAATTATAGCTAGTGTGTTTTGGACTTTCTCCACCCAGCCTGTATGCTAGGAACATTCAGTTGAACCTGTTCACCGATATCAGTTAGGATCTAAAGATAGCCAGAAGAGAGGAAAGGTCCTGAATAATAAGTTTCTTTAAAAACAAAATTTTGTGGAAATACTTCTATAGGGTCTGATTCCAGCTGTCAAGTTGCTGTTGGTGATAGGCAATAAAGTAGCTGTTTTTTAGGTTTTCCAGTTTTAAGCACTGAAGAGAAGGTTTAGAAGAAGTCATTTCTTTCTGCCCTGAGATCCCCTAGGTAGATGCCTCATTGGTGCAGAAGATACGGACGGGCTGGGGGAGCTACCAGTGAAGTGCCCTTAGCACGCACAGACTGGTTGATGGGTATTATGCAAGGAAGATGGCCCACTGTGATCTAACAAAGGGAAGTCTTGGCAGATGGCAGTGCCCTGCACTTTTAGCACGGTACAAGACAAATTGGGTCCATCTGCAGGTCCTGAGCTTCCATTTTCTTCCTAGAGTACAGCGCAGTTTTAACAGTGCTCCTGACCCCAAAGAGAACACCCTCTGCAATTTTATTTCAGTTCCCCCAACTCCTCTGCCAACCAATGACGTCGATGTGTATTTCGAGACCTCTGCAGATGATAATGAGCATGCTCGCTTCCAGAAGGCTAAGGAGCAGCTGGAAATTCGGCACCGCAACCGAATGGCCAGGGTAAACCTCAGCACTTCCCTCGTCCTCATGGTGTTTGGCTTTGGGTGGCATGGTTTTCATAGTTAAAAAACAGTGACACCATCTCCCTAGAATGTCACGGTAACGTTTAAGGACAGGAGAGGTGCGAGAGTATGAGCGAAGCCACCCTCTGGGTAGACCAGTCCTTCCCCACCACCCCCGACAACACAACAGAATAACCACCCGAGGACTGAGCAGCGCCCACACACACTCCGCAGAGTAAAAGTCACATACAAAATATACTCCTCTGCCAAAAAAACGCGCTAAAAAATTTTTAAAAAAAAAAACGGTATAACACTCACAAAAAGAAAAAAACAGCCACATGCCACGAGAAAAAAACAAAACTGCGAATTAAGTGAAAACAGGCATGCATCGATACCTTCCAGCCAGATACTGCCGCCTGCTGAAGATTCGGAGTCTCCGGGCGTTTCTTTTCCTTAAAAGGGTTATAAGAGTTAGTGCAGCAGGAGCACCGAAGTGCAAGTTTATTCTTGACTTACTCAGAATTGAAAGAATATCGAAAAGGGAATTTCTTGCTAGGCCTAAGCTCCACCCAAAATCCCACACATACCTCATGCTGGGCTTACACTTTGGGAAATGCTCATTATTTTATTTTACCCTCAGCAGTTCTGAAAAGTCGATGTTAACCTCAATTTTTTGGTGAGGGGACTAAGGCACAAAGACTTTAAGATAACGTGCTTAAGGTTATGCAGCAAAGAGTTCATGGAATTGAGGCTCTATTTGGGGATAGTTGAGGCCTAGAACCTTCTGAGGCAGTAACAGCCTCGCACTCATAAGGGATCAGATGATGCAGTTTCCTTTTGCACAGTTTCCTACATTAGGTTTAGTACCTGGCAATATTTTTAGAAAATGGGGGAGTTGTTTCAGAGGATGATTCTCTGATGGCAGTGTTTATGACCTGTGTTCTAGGTAAAGAAGGAATGGGAAGAGGCAGAGCTTCAAGCTAAGAATCTCCCCAAAGCAGAGAGGCAGACTCTTATTCAGGTAAGATGCCTTCTCCAGGGACAAAGCTTTCAGCCTGACTATTTGAAAATGATCAGAGCCAATATCCCAGGAAATTATTAATATAAAAAAAATCGAAAACCCCTTTCAAGGGAAGGCCTGAAATAACAAGAAAGCAAAAACGGCAAAATTTCCCTTTTCAACCCCAGGGTGCCCAACCTGGGGAAAAAGAAAACAAAACCCCCAACAAAAGCAAAACCCAATCAAGCCAAGAAAGAAACTTAACCCAAACGAAGGTTGGTAAATCCGCCTTCCCGGCAAAAAGCCCGGCAACCTCAATCCTAAGGGGGGAACTAGTTTTCAACAAGAACGAAATTTTTTTTCCCAGACTAATTGAAAGTAAAAAGACAGAAAATAAAGATCTCTGATATAGTTCATCTCTAACTTTGTAAGCATATAAGCTTAAGATCACAGCAGCAAACTGTATTCTCCTTCCATAGAAGAGAGTGTGGTGAGGTGTGGGAATAGCAGTTTACAGGGCTGATTGGTCGTGTAAGACTGATGACATTTTAAATCATTTTGTGTCTAGCTGAAACCTCTCTCCTCCTGATGTTAACACTTTATTGGAAGACCTTTGCTTTTTTATTGCTCACCTAGAAATTTAAGTTTTAATTCCTACATAAGCCAGTGCATCTTGTCCAGGAAAATTTAGTTTAACCACCCTTAAACTGTACCTGTAAACCTAGCCAGATACCTCATAGATAACTTGGCCTTGGTGACTTAAACAAAAATGATTCAGCATAGCCTACCACCTTGCTGGATTATGTTTCAAAAATGTATCTCCTGTTGGTCAGTGGTTTCAGGGTTCGGAGGTCGGAATGTTGCTACAACGTGGTGCACACTGAGAAACCAGGCCTTGGACTTGCAGCGCTGGCAGTTTCAGTTATGGAAAAATTAAGGAGCCCCTCTCACACTGAGATTTAACTTGCTCTCTTTAGATAATGACGTAATTGTCCTGATAGAAATCCAATACAGTATGCTTTGAACTTAGCTTTGTTTCACTCTCTGGACCTGTTACTGTCTCACATGGGCACTGGACAAGGAGAAGCGTCAGGCTCTGAGGTTGCTTGTTTATACTGCCTCCACGTGCCACGGATTATTTTGTTCTTACTGTCCTGGTTTAGCACTTCCAAGCTATGGTTAAAGCTTTAGAGAAGGAAGCAGCCAGTGAGAAGCAGCAGCTGGTGGAAACCCACCTGGCCCGAGTAGAAGCCATGCTGAATGACCGCCGTCGCATGGCTCTGGAGAATTACCTGGCTGCCCTGCAGTCGGACCCCCCACGGGTGAGTTGTGGTCAGAGCCAAATCATTGATGAATCCTGTCCTTGTTGTTGCCTGCCCTGAAGTGGTGTGTGTGCGTGGAACCAACGTGTAACACACAGGTCAGTAAAAATGACATTTTTATGAAAAGTTCTGGCAAAGCCGAAGGTAAGGAAAGAAGATTAGGGAGGAGATGGTATTATGTTCTAGTGTCTGCATGTATGAGTTTAGCATTACGTCACTGTATGCCTGGGTATACCATCTGTGATGTGTCAGTATTTTACACTAGAATAGCATAACCTCAGGAAATTGGTTGGTAATTATTTAATTATTGAATTTTCTGTGATAGCCTTACTTTCAAAGAATGAAAATATACCTTCTGTGAATGAAGACTTTTGAACCAGTTCCATTGTAAATAAGATTATTAAGAAAAGGGTAAAGTAATTTATATTAAAACTTGCGTGAATGGTCTCAAATTATTTTATCCCTTAACACGAATCTACCTTGCTTTTACGTGACGGAAGGTATTGGAAAGGAGGATGTTTGTATCTTTCTCAAGCAAGCCAATTAAAGTCTTTCCATTCTGGGGTGATTTGGGAGACTACCTAGCTTGTAATTCAGGTGTCAAAGGCTGAGCCAGGAAAGGACAGATCAGAGGATGATAATGGGCTGGGGATTCTGGAAAATACTGTTCGTTAAGTTTGGAATTTAGGTTTTGCTACTTTACCTAGATAGTTTTTGTTACTTGGTAAGCTAAAAGAACTTTTGAAGCTAAGGCTTTCGTTCTGTGCCTAGCTGAGCTTTACGTTCTTAGGTGAACGGTTTAAGCTTTTGTTTTCCTGTTTTCAATTCTCTAGTCTCTGGATATTGTAACAACTGTTCTCTCTTGCAGCCTCATCGCATTCTCCAGGCCTTGCGGCGTTATGTCCGTGCTGAGAACAAAGATCGCCTGCATACCATCCGTCATTACCAGCATGTGTTGGCTGTTGACCCAGAAAAGGCGGCCCAGATGAAATCCCAGGTATGTTAGACATAGTGGAAATTGCTGCCACGAGAGTATTTCCGGTGGGACATGGTGCCTTGACCAATGGTTGAACAGCACTGCTAGTTATGCTTGTTATTAGTCCTCAGAAAATGATTTTTGATTTCTCAACACATTTAGTACATGAAATGGCTTTTGCAATGGTACTATTTTAAAAATATCTTTTCTATACTTTTTATATATTAAGTATTTTGTATTTCATTTCTAAATTGATTTTTATATCAGTTTATTTCTGATTTAGGGTGTCACCAGAATTAATATTTGAAATCCTTTTCTAGGCGGATATATGGGACAGATCTCTTTTCTTGTTTTGTACATTACAGTTTTTGTTTAGACAGACACTTTTTAACATTTCTAGGTTTTGTGCCATGCTGGGTCCAGCTAATTCAGTCATCTATAAAGATTTTCTTCTGGTCCTTCTTTCTAATATCATTAGTTAATATATTATGCATATGTTAACTTGAGTTTTACTTTCTTGTATTCATAAAATGAACTTTGCTACAAGAACGCTAACTTCCTTTTAAACCAGGAAGCCTATAGTTTTCCTAGAGGGCCTTGTAATAACATCATTGGTCTCATTTCCTGTTGTATTTTGAACATATTTGTGAGTACTGGTATACACGGGAGGTACTTACAGTGTGGGTGCTTGCCCATCACCCCAGGAACTCTCCCTCCTCCTCCTCGTGTGTGTACTCTGATTATAAGGCAATTTGCCTAGAGATCTTAAACACTGGAGCTGTGTTCTGTGCCGTTTGTTGAGCAGAAGTTTGTGTGTCACTGTCTACGCCAAACTCTCTACTAGCATCCGATAATACAGTTGAATCTCTTGAGTACCCTTGAGCAGCTCATAAGCTAATGTAGAATTAATTAACTATAAAGATGAAGAATAATTTTCCTTAAATATACAGAGTTTGCTTTAGAAGCTGGGTGTTTTCGGGAATAAAAGAACTCAGGCTCATACAGAGTGGGCAGAGGGTGGAAAGGGGCTGGGTCGGTCGGGGACCCTAGGAGGTGTCTGGCATGGGTGGAGTGCAAGGCTGTCTTCTCACTGGATGGAGCAAGGAGGATAAAGGCCAGGAGTTCTGCAGTGGCCCTGGGGCGCTTGGGCGAGAAATGCATGCCTCTTGACAGGACTTAGCTTTTCAGATCTGCTTGATTGTTTTTGAAGACTTAATCATTTTCCAGACTTTTATTGCAAAACTAGATTATTATGCTGTATTGTACAGAAAAATAGCCTGTTTTGTGTGGTGAGAATAGGAGGGAAGGAGAGACTTTGATCAGTATATTAAATTAATAACTAGAGAATTCCTGCAAGTGCGATCAAACTGCCACACTAAGTATCGTGGGAAGGAGAACCCTCCCATCTTAGAATATCTCTGGGGTCTACCCAGCTCTCCTCCATGCTGCTTATTGTCTGCTCTCAGCCTATAATTCTAGCAAAGCTTGGCCACTGAATTACATTACTCTTTTGCCTATTCCCTATTCTGTTATCTAAATGCTAGAAAAATCTGAAGATGCTCAGCCTGTTATAACTTGTGCCATGTCCGATTGCCTGGATGAGTGATGCTTCTATCCCCTGGTGTTATAGCCCAAAAGTTCCCTGTAAAGACAGTAATTTCCAGTGTTCCACCCTGTCTGTGGTTCTTGTCGTCCTGAGGGTATACGAACCACCCTCTCTCAAATGGCTCCTAAGTTCATCTCACGGAGTATTGCTGTGTCAACACATGCTGAGACTGTGGGTATGCTGCAGCTCCATTTGCAGTTTTTCTCTAGACACTCACTCTTGTACTTTCCCCTCAATTGACTTGATTGACAGAATGGCAGATACAAAATTAAATTGCTTTCATCCTTGCTTTTAAAGGTCAGAGAGATATCAATCCACAATAAAAGCATCTTTCCATTTAGCCTTTTTTCATTTTGACCCTTCATGTTAATGGCTTCAAACCCACGTAATTAATTAATCCTCTGGCTGAGAGCACCCTCTTTAGGAAAAGCTCAGTAACTGCACATCTAACCAGACAGGGCTGGCTTGGTTTAGAACAGCTTGTGGGAGCTGTACAGCAACATGCCTCACTGTC